GAAAATATTTGGTAAATTATCCTGAAAGATGCCTTTCAGTGCCACCACAAAACACAGCCATTTTAGTAGCTTCTTTTGTTAGATGAAAATAATTTCACAAAAAATTCCTCTGAAATGCCAGCCATGAGATAAATGTAATGTATGGATGAGAAATATGCATTGAATTCAGAATGTTAATTTACTATTGATTAGCTCCCAAACATAAGTAAGTTGGTTTAACTGGCAGTATGGCTGAGAGTTTACTTGGGAATGTGTCTACTAATGAACATAACAACTGTGATCAGAGGCAGCAAATACAGTTTCTCAAATATTTCATTATGGATCCACAAAAATGTGACAGGGAATGGCCATGCATCTGATTTCTGGTTTATTCTCACTGTTCACGGAAGAATATGATGTAGTTATTTAAACAGTAAATACTGAAAGTAGGTTGTTCCCAAAGGAAGAGAATTTATGGGATGAAATAATTTAGCACAACTGTTACTTCCCTGATTTGTGCAGCTAACTTGGGAATGTTGCAGTGTTTGTCTCTTATTCGTAGCAGGGAAGAAGTTATATTATTTGAAAATATTTGTTTGTTCTGAGTCAGGGCAGACTCTGTTTTGAGTAGAACTTCACCCAGTCACTGCACAGCCAGTGGTGGGACAGCTGCTGTCACTTTTCTCTCTGGAAGGACAACCCTTGGAGAAATTTGTTGTGGTTTTTACTTCTGCTGTTTAGTGCAAAGAGGAGAAACAGTTCCAGTTTTATCTTCCACCCCCAGTGCTGTGCAGACCAAGTTAATGGAATGGCTCTTGATGTAGTGTGAGGAAGGAGCCACCACCTGAAAAAGTCCTTGGCATATTTGGCTGTCGCTATTTTAGGCAAGATCAAAGAGTCAGAAGTTTAGAAGTCTGAACAGTGGTGCAGAGGGAAAAATGCTGAGTGGAGCTGCCCAAGATGTGTCTCATGATCACGAGTGCAACTCCAGCAGAAAAATTCCACATGGCCCCTGCTGCTTCTGGATTTGGGATGAATGTTCTCATAGCCTTTTGTAGGGATTCCTTAATCACCATTCCATAATTATGGCAAAGGAAAAATGGAGACTTGAAATTAGTGTCAAACATGTTAAATTTAAGACAGATTTCATACAGATTCTGCTGTGATATCTGCAAAACCGAAATTCAGCTTTCATAGGATAAGGAATACAGAAGTAACTGCATGGCAGAGTAAATTTAGGCCTTGCTAATTAAAATATGGACTTACAATAGCACTTTTGCATTTTATCTAACCTTTATCATCTTTTGGTAGGAAATGGAGATTTTTAAAGTAACAGATAATTACATAGCATAGCTATGTAAAAGTAATATAAAAAGAGAAAAATTATGCTTTTTCATTTTGGGTACCCTTTTCTGATCTACTGTGGTATTGATGTGCCAATTCCCAGCTTTATATCATACTTCTTCATAAAGCAGAGGGGGTTTTTAACATCCCCTGGAAAGCCTAATGGTGAATGTGCATATTTGAAAATAATTGGTTTGCTTTATCTTCATATGCAAGTGAGTGAGAACCTGTAGTTTGAATAAGTGGAAACAAATGAGGAAGGGAGGATTCCCAGACCTGCGAAATTGTCAGTGTGGATTGCCTACAGTTTTGGCACACTGCAGTCTTCAAAGATTTGGCAGTGGTTGAAAGGCACTAAAGTGAAATATGTATAAGCAATGCAAATCAGGAAGCCAACACTGGGTCAGTGGCATTTGGAGAGATTCCCTCCCAAAGGACAGGGAGTCACTGCAAATACTGCAGGTAAGGTAACACTCAGGTGGGAAGTGTTAGAGTTTGAGCTGTTTGTGCCCAGGTACCTGTGCCAGCTGTAGAGCCTGTATGGAAGTGGTGTGGTCTCCAGATCCATGGATTGGCACCAGTTCCTGTCTGGGATATGACACAGGTGTGCTATGGATTTCTCTGTGCCTCACTGTCCTGTGCCATTGAATACCCTTTCAGCTTCCAATGGGGAGCTGGGAAAGTAAAAACTCAATTCAAGATGTGTACGTAGATGCTCTGCTGGGGATCATGTGAGGGTGACTATGGGTATTTTGGAACCTGTGGCACTATCTGTGAGTAACACCCTCAGCATCAGCCCTGCTGTTTTCAGTGGGCCTGCCCTGAAGTTAAAGGACTCCAGAAGGGCATCAGAACTTGCATTCAGATAAGCAGAAAGCATTTCCAAACCCAGGTATCTAGGGCATTTTTTTTATTTAGCTTTTAAGCATTTATTTTTAGATGGCATGGCTCCACTTGATAGCAGAGTGTGAATCTGAATGTTGTAAAGCAATATAAATGGCCATTAAGTTAGGAAGCACAGTATGACCTTTCTAAAACATTATGCCAAACATTGTGTTTGCTTTGTGAGCTAAGTGGAACTTCTGGAGGGCTGCTGCTGATGAAAGGCACTGGCTCGCTCTCTGGGGAGAGAGCACATTATTGCAAGATGAATCTGGAGATCTGAGAAAAATAACAAAACAAAGCTGTAAGACAGGGTTAGATTTTAACAGGAAGAAGTTTGGATTGATTGCAGTGACTTTCCTATGCCTTGTTTTCTCCAGAACACAATGAACACTTTTTATTTTAAGCTTAACTTTCTAGCTTTAAAGGTGTCTCACCAAATCCTAAAAGATTCTGTGAAGGGGCACTGGGGGAGAGCCTTTAGCCAAACCCACCCAGTATTTATGCACCTTTTTTAGAAGTGTTCTGGCATTACTAAATATTAGAGCAGCGATGCTCTGATGCCCTGGTGTGCTGTGCAGTGCCTGGCAGGGCTGAGGGGCAGCAGCTGGGGCAGGAGGGAAGGGACGGGGAGGTGGGAGGAGGTTTAAAGGGAGGCACAGAACCCAGCCACCACTAGACCAGGGCACAGCCTCATCAGTGACTCTGTGGCCCAGGCTGAGGCAAGAGGAGCTGTTCTAGGTTAAACAAGGATATATTTTATCTGAAATACACCCTGAAAACAGCTTTTGTTTCTTCTGACTAACCCTCAAGACTTTTCTCTGCATGGACAAATAGAGGATTCTCTATGAATCTTTATGGTTTTGTAAGGGACACGACAGCCAAAAAGAAGCAGTGATGAGGAGTGGGTGCTGGCTTGTTTGAGACAGGTAGCACTCCAGGTCTTGAATTACAGGGAATGGTTGCGGCCCCAAAGCTGTCAGAGCTCCAGGAGTGTTTGGTCAATGCTCTCAGGCACAGAGTGGGATTGTTGGGGTGCCTGTGCAGGACCAGGGGTTGGACTCCATGATCCTTGTAGGTTTCTTCCAACTCAAGATGCTCTATAATTGTATGAAAGTAAAACTTCAGCCTAATTGCAGTCATTCTGTTTACAGTCCCTTGGGTATCTCCTCTGTAGTTTGTTTCACCTTCACCAGTAGGTTTTTCTTGAAGGGGGTGAAGGGCCCCAACAGCAGCAGTGAGTCCCTGTGGAGTGTCCCATTTTTATCTCTACTACAGGTAAATAAATAGTTTGTAAAAGAACACCAAACTGGCTTTGGATCCTGGCTGTGTTCAATGCATCAGGGTTAAATGAAGCAGTTTATGTACTTCCATTGTGACCAATTGGAGTAAACTTAGATAAGATTTATGAGCACAGGGCAAGCATTTGTCATTTGCTCCAGAAAGCTGTCCTGGAAGAGGTAAATCAAGGATATAACCATGCTGTCTGCAGGAATATGTGGTTCTTAGGCAGAGTGATGCATCTCCCTCAGGAGCCATGCTGGCTGTGAAGGTTTGGCACGTACCTGCACTGCAGACAGAGTGCTGAACCAACAACTTCAGCTTTTGAGTTGAAGAATGCTCCTAACACCTTTCATAGAAGGTGGGAACACTTAGATTTTTAACTGTGTCTGGATTCAAAATCAACTTGTACCCTTCAGCTGGCTCAGCACTGTTGTGTGTCTTGGTGAGCTTTTCAGTTCATGCATACGTAATATGTGCCCTACAAATACAACTCAGGCTTAGTTGCATCTTTGTTGATGAAACTTGCAGACCAGAGGAAGGATTTTAAATCTTTTCAATATTATTTTCCAAAATACTCTTTTTGCCCTACTTGGCTATGAGAGAAGTTTAAAAAAGACTGAACTAAGTACAAAGCTTAGTCTTTGCACAACATACTTTGGATGCTTTGAAATACTGGGGTTTTTTAAAAAATCTTGGAAGACAAACATTACATATCTATTGCAGAAGACAATGCCTCTTCTCAGATTCTTTTGGGGAAGGTGATGATTTTTCTGTCTGAGTTGGTAGACAAAGCTGGTTAAACAATGCCAGACAACTAGACAGCTAACAAGCTTTTCACATTAGCAGGCACTCGTGGCATCCAGTGACCTCGAATTACACAATCACTCACCTCAGTGTTTACATAAAGCTGGCAGCAGGTTACAGGAACATTTGTCCTGCATGTGGGACAAGCATGTTAGAGAGAGGAAATAACTTGTGTAGAGCTGTTCCAACTCCCAAGCAGCTTTGCTAGGATTTCAGAGTATTAGAGTTTACAGGAAACAAACTGTGTTCTCTTAGAGAATACTCCTTTTCTAACAGCCTTAGCTTAATTCCTTTCTCTGCAAAGTGGGATGGAGGCAGAGGCATTTTCACATAATGTTTCTGCTAGAGTTTACATACACTCCTCGTTGCTCCTAAATAAAGCTCCCTCTTTATATTGTCTCTGGCTGTCTTCTGAAATGCCTCTTGACAGGTTTTCTCAGTCATGTGAACATCACATCATATTTTTTCAATCACATGAAGCCACTGACTGTACCAAGCCAACATCCATGCAAAGGAAGGCATCCCAGAACTCTAAACTCATACAAATTCCTCTTCTAAAAATACCACCTGAGAACAGAAGAACTGTGACTGTGAGGTCCCAGAAGGGGCACCAAGCCTGTGGCACCTCAGCATGGCCCCACTGCCCCTGCCCAGCCCAGCAATGGCTCCTCTGCTCTCATGCTGGGTGTCCCTGCCCTCCCCTTGTAGCACAGCTCTGTCCCTGCTGCTCTCCTGAGTCAATGGGAGCTTTGTGATTTGCAAGCTAATAATGTCTTTGGTGCAGTTCTAGCTGTAGAACAAACCCTTGTTAGTGATGATTTCTGAAGCACAATTTTAATAATGACATTCTTCACTTACATGATGTAGTGCTTTTGAAAGCACTTAGGAATTATTACTGAAGTCTCAAAATGCATCTTTCGGGTAAGTTTAGTTCCAGCAATTATGCAAGTTGTGAAACAGAAGCACAGGGGTTTAAATAACTTATCAGAAGTTGTAGAAGTTTCTAGTAATGCTGGATTCTTGGATCCCTGCTGTCTATGCTGGATAACAAAACTCTCGATCCTTTGTTACTGTCCTTTAATTTTCAAATGAAACCAATCTTCTAAAGACTGCATTTTACTTCTCTCCTCTTTTATACTTACCTGTTAAATTACCACATTTTTTTCAGATGCCATTTAAGTTGTAAAGGGCCTTTGTTTCATAACACACTTCTTATTTGCACCTTTCCAGTCAAGGCTGCTACTGCATTTGCTATTGCAAATACCTCAGCCAGCTGTTGAACTGTGGCAGAGTTCTGAATTATAAAACACATTATATATAAGCAAGAGGCTGAAATAACTATTTGTGAAAATAAAAAGAATAATTATATGCATTGCCTTAAACAGTTGAACCTGGGTCCTCAGGTGGTCTAAATCACCATAGCAACATCGAATTCGGTGAATCTCACTTTGCACTAAGGAGAAATTTATTCTGTTCTTCATTTTTTCTTCATCCCTTGAAGACTTCAGCAGTTATTTACAGCTTCTCTGTCCTTAACCTCATCCTCCAACTTCTTGTGCTCCCTTTATTACTTCCTGGATCACGTTCCCAGCAAACTCTTTCTCCCAGGGCTCTCCTGTTGTTACAGAGCATCTTTACAGCTCCAGGTAACACACTCTCCTTTCAAAACCAGCTGCCTTTCCTGACACGTAACTCCAGACCCCTTCCAGTAACATCACCACTTTCTATTGCTCATTCCTGTCCCTTTCAACTCCCTTACAGCAATTTCTTTCCTCTTGTATTCCCTTGCTCCCACATCCCTTCAGCCACCTACCCACACACTTTCTCTTTACTCCCAGCATGATTCGTGTTGCTCATGGTTTGTCCTCTTTTCAGCGTGGATGCCTGAGGAAATAAGGTTTATATAATTAGTCCATCTGTCAGGCCCTCTGTGTGTTTGTCAATCCTCCTTTAATAACCTGGAACCTGTTTGCTAATTGCAGCTAAAGCAGAGGGAGGGGCAGCACAGTTTGAGAGGGCAAACTCCCTAAGGTTTTTTTGAAAACAAGTGTCTGGGGACAGGACAGAGAGTGTGAGTAGTGAATCAAGGAAAATGGGGCAGAGTTCAGCCCTGGACATTATATCTGGCAGAAAAAAGCTGTTCACTAATATCCATGCTGTGCCTTGGTGCTATTTCTCATCTTTGCCAGCTGAATGGGACAAGTGGGCAGTTGTGGCAAGGAGGGCAGGGCAAGACAACAGGAGACACAATTTACCTAAAACAAGGCTACCTGAATACAATGCATTGCAGAATAATATCTTTCATTCTTCTGGTTCCAGGTTCTGTTTGATTTCCCTCCATATGTTTCCCTTCTCTCCTTTCAGGTGGTTTTATCTTTTCCCCCTTTTTCCGTCTTTCACCTCTGTGTCCTCATCCTCTCTTCATAAGTTCCTTTTCTCCGAAGGAATGCTCAACAGCAATTTCAGTTTTGCCTTTCATCCTGCACTCCCCCACATACTCTCTTGTTACTGCTAATTGTGCTCCCTTCCTGGACTGACACTGCTTCCCGAGAGGAAGGAGAGCAGCCGTAATGATTGGTGGCAGCAATGTCTTAACCATCTTCTCAGAGCACAAACACTGTCACACTGTTTGAAAAGCTACATTAATTGAACATAGATTTGTTCAAGCTGCTCATTGAATGGATTTCCCTTGAGCCTGGCTTGTGTTACAGCTTATTTTAGCTATAGACTGAATCCCAACAAAATTATTCCTCCTGCCAGTGGCCGGTGAACCCCCCCTTGATCTGAGGGCAGGGGACGTTGCACGCACAGCACAGAGGCTCAAGCAGTCATGAACACCAACAGCTGGATGCTAAGTGCAGCCCTGGCTTATCCTGGAGTGGAAAGAAAGACTTCTCATGGATTAGGTCTTGCTAAAGGCAACTTCTAGGATGTATCAGCATGGCCAGGTCAGGGAGGGCAATGTCCTGCTCTGCTCTGGCCTCACCTTGAGTATTATGCTACATAAGAAAGATTATCAAGTTATCAGAGAGCATCCAAAAGAGGCCATGAGGATGGTGAAGGGCTTTGAGGGGAAGCCATGAGAGGAATTGCTGAGGGCACTTGGTCTGTTCAGCTGGAGGAGAGGAGACTGAGGGGAAACTCATCACAGTTACAATTACAGCTTCCTAATGAGGGATAGAGGAGGACAGATATGACCTCTTCACTGTGGGGACCAGTGACAGGACCTGAGGGAATGTTTAGATTGGATATTAGGGAAAGGTTCTTTCCCCCCAGGGTGGTTGGGCACTGAATAGGGAATGGTCAGAGCCCCAAGGCTGCCAGAGCTCCAGGAGCATTTGGACAATGGTATCAGGCACAGACTCCTGGAGTGTCTGAGTAGGGCCAGGACACACTCATCCTTGTGTGTCCCTCCCAACCCAGGAGGTTGTGTGACTCTGTAGGGAAGTTTCTGCCACTTGCACAGCAGTTTGGGATTTGATGTGTGCCTGTCCTGAGACCAGGATTGCTAACAGGACTGGTAAGGAGTTGGCATTCCTGCCTGCCAAGGCTGGGACAGCTATTGTGTTCCATTTGTGTGTTGGCTCCACTGAGTCTGTGTAGGATTCCTGTGTGTTGTGCTCTGTAGACCTTCAACTGTGCTCCTTCCTTCTTATATTGTGACTTGGATAGGACTAGATTTTCAGGGGTCCCTTCAAACTCTAACAGTTCTGGAACTCCCTTTGGCGTGTAAGTCATCACCTTTCAGTTCCAGCTTGCCCCTACAGAAGTGGTACTGTGATCCTGGCAGAGGTACCTCACCAAAGCCCCCAGCCCTTGGCCACAGCTTAGACAACTCCACAGCCTGAATACATTGGTAGGGAAGAAACTCAGCAGATGGAAGTTTCCTAACTCACAGGACCTTTTGGTCCATGCCCATCCCTGAACATCCTCTCTGGGCCGTGTTCATCTCCAGGAGCTGAAATGATGCTCCTGCCAGTGCTCATTCAGCTGTGGCCTGGGCTTTCCTTAGGGTAACCACTGCCATCCTGCAGTGCCACAAAGACACAGGACACACGGGAGCAGTAGGACACTTTTTGGGTGAAGCTGCCCTCCCTAGTTTGCTGTTGTTATCTTCTTGTATTCCATATTTCTAGAGTCCCATACTGTTATTATATTCTTAAAGTCCATACCTTCTAGCTGGTTTTCTACCGTGCAGTTCTTCTCTGTAGCACAGTTCCTTGTGACTTCACAGGGACTCCACCAGGGCTCTCAGCCCACCCCTTTTATCCCAGTTATCTTTACAAGCTACAGCTGCTGCCCAACCAAGGACTTCACAGCTGTAGCTCATTTGGAATAGCTAGGACCCACTTATCCAATACATAGATTTTACAGGGGCTCTCACTATATTTCCCCCTTTTTATGTTCCTCTGCAGCTCTAGGCTGCCTTTCCCACAGTCCTACAGCTCTCAGGCTGCTACACCTATCTTCCACAGCTCTTCAGGCTGCTACAGCTCGCAGGCTGCATACCTCCATCACATCGGGGTCACCAATTAATGATATCTTGTTGTATTTCATATTTCTCAAGTCCCATACTGTTGTTTTTATATTCTTAAAGTCCATACCTTCTTGGCTGGTTTTCTACCATGCAGTTCCTCTCTGCAGCACAGTTCCCCATGACTTCAACAGCAACTCCTCCTGTACTCTCGACCCACCCCTTTTTATCCCAGCTATCTTTACGAGCCACAGCTGCTGCCCAACCAAGGACTTCACAGCTGTAGCTCATTTGGAATAGCTAGGACTCACTTATCCAATACATAGGACTCACTACAGTTTGCCAGTGTCTCAGGTGTGCATGTGAAGCAGGACTGGTGCAGTCAGTGCTGGCTTTTCTGACTGCAGTGTGGGAGGACCTCAGAGGGGGCACAGGGGCCCAGTTCCTGCTCACTTCCAGGCTCCCTGCTGTGCTCCAGCACCCTCAGGTCCCTGTGCTGGGCAGGACTTGCTGATGCTGTGCTTCAGCCAGGGCTCAGGTGCAGTGCCCTGGGCATGCAGCGCCTGAGATTTGCATTTCATCTCTCTGAATCAGCGCAATTCCCCTAAATGCCCTCTTCAGCAAACTCCTAATTGCCAGCAATTTGTGCCTTCACCTATTTGTTGCAGCTTGTGAGGTTTGCAGTGAATTTGGCTTGTGATTTTGTGTTTGTAGCAGTTAAATCATTTATGTTCTGAGAACTTTAAAGAAACATATGCCTTAAAATCAGCAAAGCATTTACTACTTTTGCACACATGGTGAAGTCTATTTTATTTTACTGTGTTACATTACTAAATAACCTTGCTTGTTATTCTTCAAGGTCTCAGTGTGTTGAGCCATTAACAACTATGGAATGTATCTAAACTGCATTAGAGCTGCATAACTACAAGCTAAGGGGTAATCAAAGATCTGTCAGGCTTAACATAAGCATATGGACAGCTCTCCACTACTAATATAGGAAAAAAACCACTTAATTTGGAATTTTTAGACAGAGGTCCCTAAGGATGCTTTTACCTAAATGATCTTCAACTTCTACAGTGCACATTGAAACACCAGTGCAGGAGAATAGGGAACTGAGAGTTATGATAGTCTGAAAGGGAGAAGGAACATATGAATATTTAACCTGTGTGTATATATATAAAATCAGTACAGGAATAAACAGTTTGATGAGTAATAATGCATATATTTAATTCATAGTTTTATGCATTTTTAAAGAAAATGTAAGCATTTGAAGCTTGGCTTTAATTAAAATAGCAAAACAAGCATTCAGGCCAGTTTATTCTCTGTCAGACTTTGAAACACATATGACAACTTCTGAAAATTACAGTTCCTGAAAGAGAGGAATCAGAAGAATCTGTGAGGTTTAGCAGGAGTTCTGGTTACAATGCGCATGGTGGGTTTTTCAGAAAGTCTGCAGGATTTGTGGAAATACAATATATTGAACCTCTCTGGTGTTGCCAGTGGACAGGCCTTTCATCATTTGAGTAGCATCAGTGCCAAAGCTGTGGAAGTTGTCAGCTATTCTGACACTACTTCTTGTATTATTAAGATCAAGAAGTGATTAATAAAAAGAGAAATGTGGCACTTCATGGTGGAAAATACATTTTTCTTCCTAGGGTCACTGTCAAGCAGTTTTTCAGGAGGAATGACACAGTTTAAGAAAGTCGAACCTTGAATTTGTATTGACTCAAAGGGGATCTGACAAGAAAGAGCTGAAGTTTTAATATCCTGCAGGTTAATGCAAAACAAAGTCCAGTGTAAGAGCTGAAAATATCTTCTGAAGAGCAGCAAATTGCTGTATCCCTGCCCCAGGAACAGCCAGGTGGTGTCTGTGTCACAGGCTGCAGTTGGAATTGGCATTGTGCTGCTGGGATCCACACAGACCTCTTCTTTCTTCCCAAGAACTTGTGTAAGCCCCAGGATTTCTATAAACATAAACAGGAGATTGTGAGTATGGGAGTGGAAGAAGTACAATCTAATATATACCACTGGGATATAGTATAGAAAGTATATTTTTATATATCCAGAAGAGAGAGGCTCAGTGCAAGAACTCCTAGGAGAAGTTATTTGCTGGAATCAAGGCAGATTTTGCCATAATATGTTCACCAGTAACTTCTGGATTGTGATTTATTGAGAAGCTCTGTTATTGCTTTTAATTTTGAAAAGCCATCTATAACCTGTGCACAGGAATTAAACTCAAGAAAACCATATGTGCAGGATATTGTTGTTAGTGTCTTGTATTTTATGTTTCTTCAAGATGCCTTAAATGATTTCTCCATTGGCAGGTCTTTATTTTGTGATTATTGCAGGCAGCTTTACACTGCAAGTGAATTAAATCCTGTTGTGTTCCTGCTGTTTCTTCAGAAAAGCAGCTGTTTAATGTCTGTCTTTATGAAAAAAAAAACATGCAAATATATCAGGTTTTTTCCCTGATATTGCAAATGTTCTTATTAATAATTTTGGAAGAGATAGGTCTAGGAGAAGGATGAAAAAAACCAATGTAGTGTTTCACAAAGTAATTGAGATGGCTGTGCCACGTGTGCAGACTGCAAGGGAGGAGGATCAAAGATGTTTGTGTGGGGAGCTGATGAGCTCCCATGATGTTACAGAGGACACTGGGAAATTCAGGCCAGTCAAGGCAGCCCTCTGTCTGCTCTGTGACAGCTAAAGAGAATAATAATGTAATAGTACAAGCTGTCTGCAGCAGCAAACCCCCCTCAGCCCTGTCACTTTGTCTGCATTCCCTGACGTGCGCTGAATATCCGTGTGCTGCTCTGCTCATTGCTGTTTCCCTGGACAGTTGCCCCATGGGTGACACTGAGCAGTGAAGGGACAGGGTTTGGAGCACATTTGTGGGGTAGCATTGTAGAGTCCCTCAGAAGCTGCCCCTTGGCAGTACAAAGGCTGTGTCTGCTGAACAAATGAAAAAAGACTCTCTGTCAAGGTAATACTGTCAGCCTTGTGCTGTCTGAGCGCTGCTCCCGTGTTGCAGCCTTGCAGGTATGTGTGTGATGCACAATCAATCTGGAAATATGAATATCTGCACTGGCTGTTGTTCTGCCAGCACTGGCAGCCTGTGCTTGGGGCCACTGTGCACAGGAGCCTGCTGCTGTGTGCAGCTTCAGAGCTGCTGGGAGCAGGAACTGGGATTGAGAGATCCCAGGTAACTACAGACACCAGGTAACTTAGTGCTCTCCCAATGTATTCTTTCCTAGAGGGAATTTTAAATGTGTAGCTACACTTTGGCTGCCAACCAGTTGCAGGTGTGGGAAATCCTTCCTGAATAACTAGACGCATAATAACTAAATTTATTTTCTGGCAAAAAACCAAACTATGTTTACTCAGACATACTCGCTGACCTAGGAGATGATAACAGGGTAAGGTGAAGCCAGTAACAGGGGCAGGTGAACATAAGTTATCCCAGATGCCTTCTGCAATTCTCCAGGAAGATCTCCTGATCATTATGTTAAATCCTTTGTGGAAAGGGATAAACACTCCACATTCTACCATTTTTGCTGGAATCAAGAGTCACTCTTGTCAGAGGATTTGGCCTCTGAGGGCAGTAGGAAATGATTGTGCGCCTCTGTTTCTGTGGGGAAGAACCAGATTCAGGGAGGGTGAGCTGTGTCCTCGAGCCAGGCTCAGTGGGGAGGCTGTGCCTGCCTCTGCCAGACGTGTGCATGCAAATGAAGGAGAGACAAACACCTCGCCATGCCTGCATATAAATGTGCCGCTTAAAAGTTTTAATATTTTTTGTGTCTGAACTTCTCAGGTTCAAATTTTAGAAGTCATTGTGTTTGTGGGTTTTTTTTTTCCTTCCCTAAATTAGCATATCTCTGGTTGTTAGGGAAATGCATGCAGTACTTTGTCGATTGAAGCATTAATTGCCTTAGGCCTTCACGCTGTAACAATCTGAATTATTCTCTCATATTCCCCTTCAGTTCTCCAGTTTAGAAACAGCAAGAGCTGAACTCGGGCAGTGTGCAGGAGAGTAAGGCGAGTTCCTAAGCCCCAGGTTTTATTGCATGAATTAACACAGCTCCTGGGATAAGGGCCTGTATCTTTGCACTCCTCTGAAGGGCTTAGCTCACCATTTGTGGGCCGTAAAAGAAGCGGCAATGAGGATAATCCGTGTCCGACCGTCGAGAGGAGCAAATGCAGTGTGCCTCCGAGCAGGCACAGCCCGTAAATGGGATCATATAGTGCATATCATCTGCATTTAGTGAGGCTGCTGCTCTGAAAATATCTATTATCTTCCACACTCTCCTTCTGGGCTCAGAGCTTCATTGCTCCCCTGTCACATGCATGCCTCAGGAAAGAGAAACCTGGGAAGGGGTGGGTTTGAACAGAGTGTACTCATCCCAGTGCTCAGGGAATACAGCTGGATCAACACAAGCAGCTGTTTCTGGCAGGAATGCCCCTGAATGGCTGGTTCCTGTGCACTTTGCACTGCTTTTCATATGTGCTGATCGTTAGAACTAGAAAAGTGTGGCCATTCCTCGATAACAAACAACATTTTTTTCACCAAAATGAATTCTGGAAAGCTCTTCAGATTATTACATTAAAAGTCTTGGATTATTTGCTCTATCCCTGGATTACTGGGTATTGTTCGTGTTACATAGGGACTTAAAAGTTTTCTGTTGTTACACAGGAGACACTCCTGAGCTATTTTAAGAACTTAAATTTAGTTCCAGAGAAAGGTAGAGAGGACATAGCAGCTTTTGAGAGGGAGGTGAAGGACCGAGGTGGGTTTTCTGATTTTCATCTTGATATATCATGTAACAGCAACTGGGCAGAGAAACACTCTCTGTGGAAAAGGGAGCAAGCTCTACTTTGTGGCTGTTCCTCACTCGAGGTCACCAAATGAGGTGGTGTTCACAGGGGTCCCAGGATGAGGGAAGAGATGAGAATCTTGACTGCAAGTTTCAGAAGGCTGATTTATTATTTTATGATATATATTAAATTAAAAGAAAATTATATACTAAAACTATACTAAAAGAATAGAAGAAAGGATTACATCAGAAGGCTTGAAAGGAATAGAATGGAATGATAATAAAATCTTGACCGCTCACAGCCTCAACACAGCTGGCTGTCATTGGTCATCAAGTAAAAACAACCACATA